CCATTATAAATTGTAAATCACTCTGGGAACATGCAGCTCACGTTACGCTATTGAATTACATTACCCACGAGCTACTCACGTGTGTGCCTCATGAACCATTTTAATTATATTATTATTCTTACTTATTTTACCTATTCTAGTCTTAAGTAACTTAAAAAGGTCCATACTTTTAATTTTAGTTACTTTTATAATAATAAATAAAGAATAAATATGAAAAACAAGAAATAAAGTACTTACACAATGTTCTTTTTTCTTGCCTTCGATTGCAAGGACAGTTAAGCCTGATTTTTTTTAGTGATTATAGTAAAGCAGTAAGCAATTTTTATTTAATCAAATAATATGCCAAAAAATATAGACTAATAACATGCAAAAAGTAGACAAATTCATTTACCTCTCAAAATTTTCCTGGCTTTCTAACAATGCGACAAGAGATTTTACAAATTCTTCCAAGCTAGTTGTTAACTATCCCATGGGAATGAATCTTGTACTGTGTGTGAAATTGATGATATTCTGTTCAGAATATAACTTTATACAATACGTCATTTGATAGATTAAAATCTTGACTTTCTATTGGTTATAGGTAATATATAATGAAACATATGAGAGAACTATCAACGAATTGTGAAAGAGAGGATGTGACAAGTGGGTGTGGCAGGAAGGGTATGACTTTCTATTGAATAGCTCTGTAACCAAACAAAATTGAAGTTTATAAAAATTATGGTCTGTTTCAGCAATAACGGTTTTATAGAGTATGTTTTACATTTGATTTCGTACATTTTTGAGGGGTGATGGATAAAATAGGGATGATGACATGCTAAGACAAAATGTGTCATGTATGTGTGTTGCACTAGTAGAATTTCAGGATTTGTTTATATATTTCCTTGTAAAATTAAGAACTTAAAACTTGTATACTATTAAAATATGTATTATTAGCTAAGATATTATAGTATTCTAATTGGTATAACATAAACAGAAAATAGTTTAATAAAATTTTGAATGTAAGACACTAAAACTTTGTGTCAAGCGAGTAAAGTGTAGCCAGGCCGAATGGGTTAAGTAACTGTATTAATACTATATATCAATGAAATTGACATCAAAACGTAGTTTATATTTCAAATTTAATATTGTGTGTTTTAATTTCTTAAATCGAAAGCAAATATTAAAAAAAGCTAACTATTGATTTGTGTGTTACATAGCACCTTCTCAGGTCTTGTTAGAAACTGGAATTTTAGATACTGGCAAGCTAGAATATAAATTTAAAACCTCTCACCACTTTTATTTGTTGAGATATCAATGTATCTAACAAATCAACTAGAGCAGTATCTCCTCCTCCTCCATTCTTTCCAAACCTCTTGTCCAGTCCCGCCTACTTTTCTTAAGTGCATGTTTATAACCAATAGAAAGAACAAGTTGTGCTTCATTGGTTCTGACAGTTGTTTGTAAAGAGCATGGAGGAGAAAATAATAATTTTGCTGAGACTGTTGAAGTGTGATGACCAAGTTGTTACTCTGAATGGAGATTATATTTTTATAACACACATATATACCTTATTTATAAACCCAGACAAGTTACAGATGTTTCGTGTGTACTAGTAGAGTAATTTTTTTTCTTTTTTTTTTTCTAAAATGTATATTTGAAGCCTACAAAAATTATATTTCTTCACCGTCCACTCGAAAGAATAAATAAAGCTTAGCACTAAAGACGCACGAGGGCAAAATATTTTCCTGTCACCATAACTTCGTGTAAGTACTAGAAATCATTGTTTTTGATGTACTTTTTATTTATTGTTCTAAGAAAAATAACTAAAATGTAAGCATTTATGTGTGTACATGTGTGTTTATATATCTATATATAATATTTTTGGTAGCCGGGTAAAATAAAAGCAGATGATGCAACATTAGAAACTTTACAATTTATATTTATTCATAACATTTAGAAAGGTACAGTAAAAGGAAGCAATGAAAAGTTATATAAACTCGTGTATATAAATGTATGCAAATATTTACTCAAAAACTGAAACAAATGTAAAGTTACACAAAATTGTTCACCTTCTTGAACAAATTGTATACAACTGTTCAAGAATGTGAACAACTTTCAGAAAACACATATATAAACTTGCACACAGAAACTTTATTGTTTTCTCTGAGCCGAGTGTAAACCAATATATTGGTTAGCGTGTGCTTCTTTGCACTCGAGGGTGTCATGTAAAAACAGTCTAATGACACAAGTGGTGATTTATTGCATTATTTCTGCTTCAATTGCTGATGGTAAAATAAACTTGGAAAAATAGTTTTGAAAATTTTATAAATTGAAACTCTCAAGATAAGTAATTTTAAACTTCATGATCAATAACAAAAATAATTGGACACGGCTACTCATTTTATTTCACATTTAAAAATTTTTCTTTTCAGTATACTTTGATGACTTGTCTACAGGCTGCATAATCAAGTATATCATTAGGGTTAAGGTAATAACAGATAAAATATAAAGTTTTACTGGAAAAACAAGTTGTATATTTATTTAGGAGGTTTTAAAGATTACATAAGTGAAATTTCTGATTTTTTGGATGATGAATAATAATTTTCATCATAACATGAAAATTACTCTGCACCTAGACTAGTAATGAAACAGACTTGATATGTTCATAAACAAATCTTTAGTAAGATACACGTGCTGTATTAAAAGTTATAGTATAAATACTAAATAATAATGGCTGGAGACGGCTTGATTGGATAATGAAGAAAAACTTTAATATAAGTTTAACATAACTGCAAATGTGCAACGTTTCGACAAGGTTTTGTCATCATCAGGTACCTGATGTATGTATACAGACTCGTTATTGTATACCGAGTCCATTGCGAAAGGGATAACTGAGGGTTTGTTCCTGGGGTGATTGGTGTTTTCCTGATCAATATAGAACACAAATTCATTGGTAGAGTACAATAACATCATAATTTTAAACATGTTCATCTTTAAGGGGGAAAAAATTAATTTTCCCTGTCACTTCTGCCATTCATACAGAGTCGACTTGTTAGCATCAGTTATGTAATCATGAATCCTTCCTGAAACCAACAATAATTATTTTGAACTCATTTTGAGGTAAAAGTGTAGTTAAATCATGCTGTAATAACAATTCAGGTAAAAGAAGATATGACAATGAATTAAAATTAAGTTATAATAGGTTTAAAGTCAACTAATTTTGTTTCTTTAAGTATAGAAATATGAGATTAGTGCTGTCCGTTCAGAAGAATATTAGTCACAGAGTTAAAAGAAGGATTGCATTCTACACCAAACAAGCACTCAAATTGAAGTACAAATTTTAATATGAAAAAAACTGCCAATTATTTCATAATTTTTGTTAGTAAAGTAATTTTAAAGGTAATATTTTTATGTTTATTCATAACAATTTCTACTGTCATTGCAACAAAAATCTTTGTTTTCCATCAGTATAATAGAATTTAATATTTTATAATAAATATAAATTTTATCATCATGAACCTTAATTTATGATGTAAGGACACATTTTTTGTTTAGTTTTGGCTCAGAAAATACTTTTTCCTTGGTTTAATGTACTTGTTTTTTATGTGTTGTTGAGATTTTGTTCCATTTATAACCTTGTACTTTTTTTGTTTTCTTAATATACAAAAATTTATATTTTATGCATGAACTTAAGTAATGGAAGTAGGGGGTTTAATATATATAAAGTTTTGAAAGTTAACATTATAAATAAAAATTCTACAAAAGAACATATATAGAAACTCTTACGTAGAGGATATAGATCAACAAAAGTGCTTATGTCATTCTGGTGATCTTTAAAACCCAGTGTTTTGAATTTCAAATCATCTGCTCGATTACTCTGAAACAAAGATACATAGTTTTGTATGTTGATATCTTTTCGTTTCATGTATAATAGGATTATTTACTTCATTCCTCAGAATCACCTTCTTGATATATTTTTTTAACCCATTGAAAGTTAATGAATGCATGTTCCAAACATTAATGTTTGTTGAAATCTAAGATTAATGTATGAGGACACATGAGGATTGCCCTTTTTCATTTGAACCCAGATGGTGAGCTCCAGACCTCAGCCCGGAACTCAGATAATGACTCCTCCTATTCATGCAGGGACTGTAACAAAGTCTTTAATCGGCAAGGTTAGCCCGTCTGTGTCATTTTGTTTTTCTGTCTTTGCCTCCCCTGTCTTTCAGTTTTCTTATTTTATTTACACACTTGAACACTGAAACTTGCTATACTGTAGGTCTTATTGAAATAATCTGTTTGATGACATTATACTTTTAGTTTTATTAAAAATGTTTGTTCCAGTTAACATAACAAATATATATTAATAGGCATAAAAGCATTTTTTAAACATGTTTATTCAGCTTTTTTGTATGTTTTTAAAGAATTATTTTAGCAACTTACTAGACTGTTATTTCTTTTTGACTGCTTATCATTCTTTGATTGTTATATAATCAAATTTAAGTTTTTATTTCATCGTTCTATCACATTGTGTTAACAAACTGGTGTTCTAGTTGCGGTACCAGTGCTGAATTTTTTCTAAATTATTGGAACAGAGATAAAAATCAATGTGACAAATCCAACCATTTCACTTTTGATAAAAGACTTGCGTCTCTTTCTAAAAGGAACGAAATATTTGTAAACGTTCAATCAAAATTTTAAAAAACTAAAACAAAGATAATATTCACAAAGTAACATTTACAACTTCTATAATCTGTATCATAGTCAGTGTTTCAGAATGAAACTATTGTTAGGTGTGAAGATCCTTAGATTAAAATTTTATTTCCTAAAAGTAAGTCTTCAAAATAAATGTTTTACTGTTCGGAGCCAAGACAAATGAAATATGTTTTAACTATTATAATGCATTTACTTATTTTTTAAGATTTGAATTATTATTTGGATATAATTTTGTGAACTTTATGTGTGATGCCACAATCTGTTTACAGAACGGTTGACGGCTCACATGGCTGCACACAGACCACATCGATGTGGGTTCAGTAGTTGTGGGAAGGTAAGCCTTGTTTTGTTTGTTTATTTACCTTAAATGTATTCTGTATTCCTATAAATAAATCTTCACCTGTGTAGATTTAGTGTTGAAACCATTCACGTCTGTGTGATGTATATTGTCAGAATTTTATATTTAATTTTAAAACTACTTTAGACTTGGTCTTAATGACTTTAGTTAGATTGTCAAACACTTCTCGAAGGAAGTACCTATGATATGTATTTTGAATGACACTTCATCACAATAAGAGACTGATAATAAGATTTTACAAATCTTTTTCTATGGCTCTACACCGCAGGTTTCAATAAGGCGAAACATAAGGAAATGGTGTGTACTACGTGGCACACGAGGTGTGGAGTCAAAATGTTTTGTTTTTTTTATTAGAAACCACAGTAAAGAACCAGTAAATAAAGATTTGTTATTGGTCTTATTGTGATGCAAATTACTGATCAGTATACCACACTTTATCAGTATAAGACTTTATATACCATGAATGTGATGAAATAGTTAAATGATTTTTGAGTCACTGAGAGGATAGTAGATTATATGTTTGGTGAAGGCTCACAGGTATGTAATTTGTTACTTTTTGTTGGAGTTAGATGAAATCTAATGGATAAAGATAAGAGCAAAAGAACTGTTATGTTGAGGTGAATAAATGTAATACAGTTTGATAAAAATCTGCAAAATTTATATAAAATATGAGTGAAAACTCTAGAACATTCTGCTGGTTTAAAATTTTAAAACCATTGTTTTTTTGTTTTTGTTTTTAAATTTCAGTGTATGTAACACTTTCCTGTATTCACACTGCCTTTAGGTTATTCATTGAAACTGCATACAAAAACACACATTATGTGTTTCTGCTTACAGAACTGGTAATATCTTAATAGGATATACAACTAGCCAAACCTTTCTTTGAGCTGTTAAAAAGAAAAAGACATAAGTAAGTGAAAAATACGCAAGAGTATGAACATTTACAAAATGAGAAAGGTTTTGTAGAACATGCTGTGTACAAATAGTATTCAAAGTTCTATCTTTATACTAACCTTCACTTACCAGTAGCTAGAGAGGGGAATTTTATTGTGTAAAGTGCTTTATCAACTAATATTATTTGTTTGTGTGTTTTAACAAAATTTAAGTATAGTAGTGAATTTCAGGAATTCAAACTTAAAGCTCACCTAGTGCGACACTGTGCTTCTGTCCATGATTCAGCTATTAGAGTTGGTAGTCCAAGACCTATAATAAAGACACGTGTAGCATTCTATCTGTGTACCACACCTCTTACTCGACTTGCTCGACGAGTTTGTGCTCATCTCTTACAACCACACCACGCTGCCAGAAACCCTTTTAAAGCAATCAATGTGGTAGCTGTCAAACAGGAATGTATGTAGTTGTTTTTTACTACTGATTTTGTCTAAAATCTGATGTGTATGTCAAATTTGGTTTGTTTTTGTAGGAAATGTAAATTTGGTCAAAAAAGATTTTTTTGTTTGTGCAGTGATAAAATGTTATATTATTTCTCAATAGTTAACTTTCTGCATATGTTACTCTGATACAGTATGCCTATATGTTAATCTTTAAAAAAAAAGTAAAATGGTTTCATTTTTAGCCTTAAACTTGTTTCTTCTCATTGTATACTGAATTTCACTTACACTGGTCATCTCCTAAAGTCTTGTTAAATGCAAATCCAACACTTATTTATTTCAATAAGAAAGATATTTTAATGACATAATGTCTTTTAATCAGTTCCAGTTTTAACTTCAAGTTAATTTCTAGTTGCTCTAACAGTGAAAAGCTGTAGACATTTGTTATTCTGCTTCTACTTGGTGATTGCTTACAAAAATCATTATCTGCTTTCTTTAGTTATGTATGACTTAATTATTCTAATATCTTCCTGTATAAGAAATTCAAAATTGATTGAAATGCATTGACATTTGCTGCTTCTTGATTGCCTGGAGAGACCAAATAATGATGTAGCATTCTTTTGGTACAATTTGCCATGACAGTAACAGAAGAAAATTCAATTATCCTCTTTGTATGAATAAGTTATGTGAAAAACACCTGTACTTGTAGTACTATTATATTATTGGTAAATTTTAATATTTGCCTAAATAATAGTACTTTTTCTGTCTATATTTGTTATTGCTATTATTAATTTATTTATTTTTAACTTTTTGTCTATATGTTGTCATTTTGTAAAATAACTTTACAAAAACAATAGATATTGGTATATTATTATGCACCATAAGTAATTTACTTTAAGGTACCTAAACTAAAGTAACCTGTAATAGGTAGAGTAA